CTTTACTCTGGTGTAATAAGTTAAGCATAATGAATAATCAGTACGCAACTAATATACTTTACATATTACGTACTATCGAAGACTTGAAATAATTCCTAGATATTCAAAATAATAATTGAATAATAAAACATAATCAAATCTATAATTTCAATATGCATCAGATAGATTAATAATTAATAAATATTAGAGAGATATATAACAATAATAAAAGAAAAAGAAAATATATATATATATATTTTTATTGTCTATATATAAATTTATATTGTCTTTTATGTGTGTGTGTGTGTGTGTGTGTGTGTGTGTGTGCGCGCGCGCTCGCGTGTTTCGTTAGTAATAGGACATTATTATAGCTTGATAATTGTTATAAGCTGCATTAATAATCTTAACACGAAGTAAATTTATTACTAGATCATATGGATCAATTATATTCTCATTCAGTGTATAATAATTGCTCTGTTAATTAAGTTCTTTCAAGAAATATGCTTGTACATCACTTGCAATACAATATAATAAAATTTTCTAAATCTTTAAAGAGCTTATTTTATACATTACAATCCTTACTAACATTACTAAGTCTCTACCTCTTTCTGTCATCAACATCTCCTCCATTTCCCTTTTTATTTCAATTCGCTGATTCAATTTTATAAAGTATTGTACTTATATTAATATATTCATTAAATGCTATCTATAAATGGATTGTATAATATTGAAAAGAAATCTACAATATCGACTATAAAATATTTATGTAGTGTAAATTGCTTACGAAGTGTGATCGGATACATTTGGGAAACCTTATATTATTCAGAACAATTTAGTACAATTAGAGACCAAAATTTAATAGAGACATACGCTTAAATAATCATGGTTCAAACGTATTGACATTGGAAAAGTTGTTTTATTCACTAAATATAAAATTTAATTATATATCTATAAACGTTTCGTAATAATAAAAAAATCGAAAAGTAAGTGCAGACATTAAGTATTTAATATAAATTTTTCCTTCGTTTCCTACAAGTTTAACTAATAATTTTTTATAATTTTTTTAATACATAAAATAAATAAATGGAATCAAAGTATTTTCTATATTTACTTATTATTTAATATAATTGGGACAAAAGTAATTAAATGCAATGATAATCCAATTATATTATAGTAGCAAGTGAATGATCAAATTGATATATAATATAAAAAATATATACTATATATGTTACCTCATATAATTTAATATATCAAGTAGCGAATTTTAAAAATTAGGTAGCTTGTAGAAATACAATATAGACATATTTCGGAGAAAAGAAGCAGATAAGGAAGTTTCGTAATTTGTTGTTATTTAAAGTTTACACTACAAAATATCTTTCTGATAAAATAGTAACTATGAAATATCCATAAAATAATTTTAAAACAACTATTTCAAACTAGTTCATTTAGGTGAAAAGTCGTAGGGATGTAATTATTTTAGCTTTATACCATATCAAGCTGCTGCTTGCCGACAAACAATAGTTGTTGTACTGAGATTTTTTATAAATCGATAAACTTTTTTTGTTAAAACATGATATATATATATATATATATATATATATATATATATACATAGTTACTACAATGTATCATTACTCTCTTTACAAAGCTTTCATATAATTAGAATTTCTTCATACAAAGCCTTTTTACGATTTTTTATTTGCTTGAAAATGTTGTATATACCTGTTTTATATAATATAAACTCGCGAAAAATATCAAAAAATTTAATCGTATTAATTTCTTCGGAGTATCCAATTAAAAATTAATTAATAAATTAGCGCAACCTGTACATTTATAGTTATATAGTCAATATTTGCATAGAAAACCTTTAAGTATAGATACCTACGTTCAAGTGCGTGTTAATCTTAACATTTTTCATAATTCCCACATAATTGTAATCTTTATAATATTTCCATAATTATTAGAATACATCACTTTATCATTATCTTTTTATATACAATCCTATTTCTTCCGTGTTTAATTGTGTCTACATAACCGATAATGAATAATTCGTAATAGTTAGATTAGTTAATTAAAAAAGATCGTAGGGAATGAAAAAATTTTCTTGCTCTTTTCATTAAACTTCAATATTTGAATTAATCATTAATAACATTTATTATTAATTTACTGTATATATATTTTTTTGTTTAACTTTTGTATATTGATTTAGCATTAAATCATTCGTTTCAACAATCATTATCAGCGGTTGTTGATCTTGTTACATTTAAATTAGCAATAAATGTAATATAAAATGTAAAAACCGCCAAGTGATATTGAAAAATAAGTGAAAAAAAATTAATTATAAGTGAGATTTACAATTACATAATATATACATTACATTACGATACAATGCAGAAAATCACATTACGGCATGTCTACTAAAACATAATCCTGTTTTATTGGGTGGATAAATGTTTTTTATTTCCTTTTTACTTTAACATCATTCATGTTTGCTTTTCACTCTTATTTACAGTCAATTTCATTAAAGTACAATTTAGCATTTATATCTTGAACTTGATGGTATTGCTACTATATTAATACGACATGTTTATCATTATTATGGATATACTTTTGTATAAAAGTGCGCCTCAATCTCGTTACAAAATGTCTTAAGGGGATTAATTATAAAATCATCATTAGCAAAAAATTCGACGATAACTTAATTTTATATTAAATGCTTCATTTTATCTAAGTATAATTATTTTACTAATAATATTTTATCTTTATTTTTATATATCTTCTGAATGTCTATCTATATGTACAACTAATCGAATTTCTAACATTCAACGTAAATATTTATTACTCAGATTTTTTTGTTATAAAATTTTATTTATAATAATTTCTTTAATCGAATATTAATAATTATTTATAACTTAAACAATAAATTAAATTTATCATCAACGTTTGTATTTATAGAATTGAATATCTACGAATACTCGCAACATTCTTATTATATAAACAAAAATGTATAATAAAAATTTAGAATATTCTCAGATTCATAAATTTATACGTACATAAATAGCTGAAAAAGTAAATTCTATATCTTACATTCTATATGTATTGGTAGTATTAAATAATAATATATACATTTCGGATGTTCCTACAAGCAATATCATGTTTGATATCTACTCGTTTAGTAATTAGTATAGCACGTGCAATCTTACTCTATAGGCGAATGACCAATACTACAAAGCACCCTTTTCATGCAAACATAAGACTTTCCTTTAGAATAAAATCGTTTTATTTTCTGGCAAAAATGGCATTTCATTTAAAAATAGTCAATAACGCATATATTCATAAGAAATTTATTTTGCGACTGTACAGTAAGCTGATTATCATATTTGGTCAACTATGAAAATATATGTGGTTTCTATTAATTTGTCTGCGTGAATGTCCAGTTCTGAGCTGATACGGATAATTGATTGCTCTGATTTCGGCGTAAGCCGGGCTTCGCGATTTCATATAAGCTTATTTGTGTTAACCTCCGGTATTTCACTACTATTAATATTTCAAATTCCAATGCAATTTTAAATGTAAGTGATTATAAATTTTGAATAACTTATGATATATTATGTACTTCACATGTACGATGATATGCTTCTGAATATAATTATATGTGCTTCGATATTTTATCTTCATGATTTTACTGTTTCATAAATTATGTAATAGATTATATTATAAAAATTAATATTAAATAACCAATTTCTAATATTACGTTTAATATAAATTATAATATCCAGTTGTTTATAATTAAAATATCCTTAATAAATTAAAAAGAAGATACAAATAATTATAAAATATTTTTTAATTATGGGATATGTTCTTCTTTTTTTTATCCGTATATTTAATGGACACACACACACATATATATATATATATATATATATATATATATATATATATAAATATTGATTCAATTAATAGATAACGGTATTGGTTAACAATTGTCATTTCGTTCATAGCATAAATTTTTTAACATCTAATTTACATCTATTGTTGTAACAATTTACTATTGCTTCTGTATTTACATACTTTATAAATGTTTTCATTAATTTTACATATTGGAATATCAATATAAAAAAATATTGCGTATAATTCTATATGAATTGTCTAAGGAAAGAAATAAAGAGTGATTTTTCTATATAGAAATAAAATGCACGATTATTACACATTTGAAATGGTTGTGACGATAAATATTTAAATTATATGAAAACCAAATATTGTTCTAAATTAATAAAGTACATCAATCAAAAAAATAAAAATTACACTTTTCTTATTATTTTAATTTATGAATATTTAATAGAATTCATTCTTCTTACATCAAAATCAACAATCAAGAATATGTATTATTTTTCTTCGTAATATGAGGTTTACTAAACTAATGTAAATTTGACCTGGAAACGTGAAAGATAAGGAAATTATGAGTGATGTATTGATTGAAGCATTTTCAAATACTGAAGCTTGTTAATTATTAATACCGACGGTCTGAAAATTTTCATATAAATATAACAATATAATTATAACCAAGAAAATGACGCTCATTGAATTTACAATTTCAACGTGATCATTTACTATTAATTAAAATTATAAACCATTAAACTATAAATTATTTTACAGAAATGTATATTTTAAGTATTTAATAACTGAGGAATGACCTTCCATAATTTTTTAAATACTTTTCATAAAACGCGATAACATTTATTATATACAGAAATAAATTTTACATACTCTTATAGTACAATCTAAAAAGTGTTATATACGTTCAATTTACTTCATTTTTATGTAAATTTATTTTAGTTTAAAAAATGCAGGCTAATATACTTGTTTTTCTTTTAATCTTTCAATTTTGTGCGTAAAAAAACGTATTTTAAGTATATTGTTTAAGTAAATAAAGTAAAATATATATTAATTAAACGAATTGTTTAATACGTAATTTTTATTTAATAGATGAGCAACATGACTTAGTAAGTGGGAAAGCATTACTTGGCCTGAATGTTCATCAAACAATGCCCACTGAATTTCAATTCATAGTCGCTATTGTAGAAGTTGATGATTCTTATTCGATAGAAAAAAATCTTCTCTGCACTGGATCACTTCTTACAAAATCTCACATATTAACATGTGAACACTGTTTTGAAGAAATAGAAAGTCAACCTTTTCGCATACTTGCTGGATCAAATAGTTTAATAGATGCTACAGCATTTTTTCCCTTATTTTGGATATCTTTTGATCAATGGGCAGTAAATGAAGGAGAAGAAATTGTGTACCCAGAGAATGACATTGCTATGATCAAAGTAAATTATTTTATGAAATAAAATATTCTGCGTATTAATTGATTTACAAACTAACTTATATTGGCATTCTATAAAAATGATGGATTTAAATATTTTTATAAAATATAAATTTATTTTATCATTAGCCATTTATTTTATTCAATAACAACAAAATATTCTACTTTTAAAATTTGCCCATTTAAATTTTGACATGTTAATTATTGTTATAAAATTGTGACGAAAGAAACTATTTTTCAGTTAATTGTTGCTGTACCTGATGAATGCCCTACAGTCACACTTGCAACATTTAGTGAAAATGAAGATTTATATGGGTTATGGACGGTAACAGCGGGATGGGGTCAAATAAAAAATGATATTCTGCCAATAATTTTACATAAGGCGATAGTGAAAATTATAACAAATGAAAATTGTGAAAATATAATAAAAGCTTTAGCTGGAGAGGAGTGTCCTGTTCCAGAAGAATTATACATATGTACGAAAAATTTGCCGTACACCCATTTAGGAGAGGTAAATATTTATCATTTATTTTCATAATTAATCGTTTTCATTTTGATTTCGAATTATTTCGAATTATTTCGACATCGATACATAAAAATACAAATAACAATTGAACATCGATGCCGTTCTGTTATGTTTTTCAATTAACAATTTAAAGCCGTGAATTTTACTTAGACATTAAATTACACAAATATAACAAAATATAATAAAATTTACATAATTACAATATAAATTACAATACAAATTTGCATTATCATAATTTATGTCCTTGTTTGCACTTGAAATAACTTGAAATAACATGTATATTCAAAATAATAACCAATTTTCAAAATTTTCATTATTACTAACTATTTTTATGATGAGAAAACATTGATGAATGAAACGAAGCCTTGAAATTTTAAAGGTTGAAATAAAACATTACACCAATTGTATATGCAAAGATAAATTATATTGATAAATATACCATTTAAAAAACAATAACTATGTATATAAATATTTGTATACTATCAAGTGTTGCAATTAAAGAGACAAAAAAAATTAATGTTTTTAGGGTGACAGTGGAGGGCCGCTATTGTATGAAAATAATCTCGTAGGAATTAACAAAGCATTGTGTCCAGATATAGACTTTTCCACATATCAAGTGAATGCGCATCTTAGCATACATTACTATAGAACATTTATTGCATCAACTATAACAACGTAATAATTTATATAATTAATAATCAACTCAAATATTAAGACAAAATAATAATCTCATAATATTGTAATATTGTATAGAATAATTTTTAAAAAATGACAGTAAAATAAGCAGACTTTAGATACTGTATTATTAACCACATAATATTTGTCATATTCGTGATACTTTTTTTTTTTTTTTTTTTTTTTTTTTTTTTTTTTTTTATAAACATAATTAAAAAAAACTCTAACGATCATAAAATTTCATATCGTAAGTATAACGTACTCATAGAAATAATTGTTTGATTAGCTATACAGATATCACATATTTATACGATAAAAATTAAGTTATTTATAGTTTTTAAATCATAAAATTTTATGATTCGAATCATAAAATTTTATGCTTGATATATTGGGTTATTTTTACAAAATATGAATAAAAGCTTATATTTAAGAAACGGATAACAAATAATCAGTTCATATATGTAATGAAATATTCTATTTACTTATTCTCTAATTATAATTACTCTACACTACTGTAATATATGTTATAAATTAATATTGATGTAATTGAAAATATATTGCATATAGATTATATATTAAAATATATTTTAGAAAACGTGAAAGCTCATCATATTGAAACATTTATATTCATGATTTTTCTTCTCGAAATATAAATATATTATTTGATTAGCTATTACTCCATTTCTTTTATTCTCTTTCTGACAAATTAAAGCAACTAAGTATAATTATAAATTATATTTAATACGTATATTTTATCATTTTGTATTTGAATATTGCATTTTTATTTATGTTTATCGTTTTTCTATTCGTATTATGCAATTCACTTGTCATTACCCCAGTAATTAAAAATATTAATGTTCTTTGACAAAAATAATTTAAAAATAGTTTTTTATTTAACAATATTTCTTCAATTTTATAGAATTATTAAAAAAATATCTAACTTTTCGAGAAAAAAAAAAATATATATATATATATATATATATATACAAAATTTATTTAATAGTACAAAAACAGTATATTAACATTTTTATTTGAATTATAATACAGCTGTAATCAGCTATATTTTTTAAATGAAATAATATATTACAAATGTCTTTTTACACATGCAATTTTACTGTAAACTAAATTAAAAAAATATAAATAATTTTCTTCATTGGAAAAATATTTAAAATATTTATAAATTAATGTTTTTTTGTAAATAATATTGTGGATATTTAATAAATATCACGTATATCACGTCATATCATCAAGCAATATCACGATATCATTTAATGATAACGCAATGTAGTAGGGATATTTGTAAGTACACATGCAGTGTGCTACTACTTTTGAAAATAATTAATATTTCACATGATGATCTTACAACCTTAAAGATATAGTTAATGGTCTACTTGTCGATATTCTGTATTTAATCCATTGGTTGATTATTGCAACTTCTCTTCTGCTCTCTTGACTCTCCATTATGTAACGTTTATTATTTAAACACGTACCGCAATAAACATCTACACATAGTTCTTCAACAATATGGACCTGAAAAAAATGTATACTAATTATAGAATGATGTGGAGATATAAATATGAGTGAATTTTAATATTCCCAGTATATTTATTATCATATAGTTAACTCAAATAAAGAATGATTAATGTAGAAAATAACTCATATGTATTATTTATATAAATTCTTGTAAACAAATTTTTTTAAATGGAGAAAGCAAATTAAATTAACGAGCATGTATTCTAACAAAATAATATTAAATCAATATTAATTATAAATATGTACTTTATTATAGTTAACCGTAAAAAATGTTTATTATACTAATTCCAGGATAAGTGCAGTCTGAAATGGTGTCACAATGAGTCTTTAGATAAAGGTATGCAAGTTTTATTTCAATTCTATCTACCAAAGCTCCTAAACTATACAAGAATATAAAAGACTTAAGCTTGTACAAGCATTTAATTCTAAAATTTACCGGTGGAATTCAATGTTCCTGACTTTGGAGTAATATCGTTTTTTTTTTTTTTTTTTTTGTTCCAATATATTATTTGCGTGTTTCGAATATTTTTTAAAAATACTTAAAATATACTAGATAAGAGGTATCTAATATTTCAATTTTTTTAATGTACATAGGTAAAATCAATATAGACAGTAAATATACATAGTAAGATCAAATTCACATTTAACTATCACGACCCTATAATTGTCGAAAATACTTCTTAATTCAATTTTAATTACTTAATTTTAATTTTTATAATGATTTATTTATGCTAGAAAAATAATCGGGTAATGCACTATAAATAACTTATATAGAGTTTAATATGACCTAAATATGTGTTTAAATGTTCAGGGAAGTGTTTATTGTTCCAATTATTTTCATTCGTTTATACAGTGGCTTCTGAATTATAACTTTTCAAAGTTAATACCTATAATTCTACGGATATAAATTGCGTAGATTCTCTCAAATTAACATTTCAATTCTCTTAGAAATCTTAAATTTGTTTATTTATACGTAGAATAATTTCATTGATATGCCTATACATATTGAAGAAATATAATATTCTTAAATTTTCCTGTAATAATTATTAAATTCATTAATTTGCATTAAACTTATTCGTGTTATAATTTTTTATGTGTTAACGGGCACATTATCAAACTTTTTTATATTCCGCTGGAACTAATATAAAAGTTTGTATGTGGGATTCGAATTCTGAATGGTAATCAGAATTTTCCATCTCTAGATATATTTCAAAACGAGCTATTTTACTTTAATTTTACTTTTTTCAGTTTTCCTGATTTATCGATTAACAATAACCAATTCAAGTTTACGTTAAAAAATGTGAAATATACATGACGAAAAGAGTTTTTATTTTTTTTTTTTTTTTTTTTTTTTTATTACGGAATAATTAACAAATAAGACTTTATAATGTAATTAAATCTACGTCTCCCAAGATTTGTTTCATTGAAATTAGAAGTAAAGTAGATAATATCATAATAGAAAGTATAAGTAATTGTAATCTATAACTGTTATTACAATATTTCAATATTGTAATAATTTTGAATAAATTTCTATAAATAAGTATAAAATGATATTGACAATTGTTTAAGTTTCAATTGAATTAAAAAGAATGCTAAAATTGGATGTTTGAAGATCAATTTTTAAATTTATTTAACCACATTGTCTTATACAGTCTACGTAATATAAGAACAGAATTCTTAATTCACTTTAACATGTTGGTTCAAGAATTAATGCGAAAACTTGCATGTCAAGCATTAATGCATTATAGAAGATACATACAACTATCACATCCTTAACCCAGCCTCCACATAACAAATATATAATTATTTGGATTATAAATAAACAATATTTAAAGTATACGCTTTTTGTTTTTGGAACCCTACAGCTTGTTACGAATTATTTATTTCTAGATTACAATAGAGATATTTTAATAATTAAGGCCGTATTTTAAATTCAAAATAACTATTATATCTAATTTGTACATTTTATTTCTGAACAATTTTTATCCAAGTGTATTATCACTATTTAAAATAATATGAATATACAAGATTGACCATTTTATAATTATGACTTATAATTATATTTTAGAATATAGAAGATAAATTTATTGCAATAAAATTATTAAGAATTGGAATTAAAAAGTTATAATTAAGAATGATTAACGAAAGTATATAAAACAAGTAAAACGATAAAATGAATAACCGATTCAAATTACATATATTTACATTACATGCGTAATGATTGTATTATAGAAAAATATGTCATTAAAGCAATTAAATTATTCAAATAAACGTGAAAATTGACTATTAATAATAATGATATTTTATCCACTTATTCTAACACTGTCATGTTCTAATACTGTCACGTTCAAGTAGAGTATTGAAAACACTTTGTTATAACATAAAAACAATTATTAAATACAAAACAATGTAATCCTGAATATTTTCAATAAAAGAAAATTATGAAAATTGTATTTAGTTTAATTGTTTTCTATCTTACAAAAGATATTGTTCTTTAAAAGTAAAACTATATGATTATGAAACAAAAATAAATCTTTCTACAAATAAAAAAATAATTTGAAACGTGCATATATCAATTAAAATAGTTAAAATAAAAATTTATGTTACATTGCTGTTTTTTAAAATTAAAATAAAAATTAAAAAATGCTATATTTAACATTATCTTTATAATTTGTAATATATATTCATTAATCGATATATAAATAAAATTATGATAATAAATATTTATAAATTTAGCAAATTAACTTTTATTTAAATAATTCGATCCTTAGAACCAGTTTATTCAATATTTTTTTAATGGTAATTGTATTGAAAATCAATAGATAATAATTATATTGACTTAAATTGAAAATCTTTGGACAATTATTGATAATAATTAATAATATATATGATTTATAATTTAATAATTCTAATAAAAGCATGATTTTAGTTTCATCATATAATATAAATTAATGAAGAAAATGAATTTTGAAAAGTTGAAAAACAAATTGTTTTATACTTCGTACTTTACTTTTATATAGTTTCATCTAAATAAAGTAAATTTTTAAACACTTTATAAAAACTTTATAGCATTAAATAGTATTTGTTCAAGAAAAATAATGGCATTAGTCTATATTCAATCTAATTCAATAAATTACATTCAAATTACTTTTCTGATTTCTCCTTATAAAAATATTATATTAAAAGTATTAGATAATTAAATTTTCTTAATGACTAGTCGAATAATTTTAAAAGATATAATTAAAAAATTTAACAATAACATTGTTTACTCTACTTGAAAAATATAATTTTAATTAATCTACTTTGCATTTAAAACTTATATTGAAAAGATTTATTATTTTGTCATTGGGAAATACGAATGTGAAAAAGTTTCGAATACGTAAAGTAATTTGATAAATTGTATTATATATATATATATATAAAGTATTTTTTATCGATTGCAAAAAAAGTAATTACATACACTCGTCAACTGACAATTGAGATTACACATTACAAGTAGATTATGCACATT